ATATATATATATATATATATATATATACATATACATATATATAAATAAATAAAAGGGCCAGTATTAATGTTACTACTTTCTGAAAGGTTCACTAGATAAATAAAATGACATAAATAAGCAAAACACTGACTGCTGGCAGGGCAAGGAAATAAAAACATATATTAATATGCATTTATATGGCTTAAAATTAAATGTAAACGTCTCCCAAAAAGTTCAGAATAGTGTCTGAGTGGTAATGTCAATTACGAGTACTGTAGTATATGACAGCTTTCAAAAAACAGGCAGCGTTAGGTTGGTGTATTGGATCCAAATAAGCACTGACAGGTGTTGGAACCACCAACTAGATCTCAACTTCAAATGTCTGTTTTATAGAAGCTCTGCTGTAAATGGTCTTCCTCAAGTGTTATGGCAAGAGCTTGTTAGCATGTCTGCTGTGTAGAGATAGTCCCATCAGCCTACTGTAAATCTGTGTCCTCAGATTGCTTCTGTTGTGGGTTATCAAAATAAATAGAATAAATGTATAAAGGCAGAGATGGTGTTACAACACTTCATGTAGTATTCTCTGCACTACAAGAAATTATTTTTACACTGGAGGGAGCAACAGATGGCTGCTCTTTATTTAAGGAAACGAGGAGGAAAGGAAGCATAATGCTGTAAGCTTATTGAACTAAAGCCTGCAAGGTCTTATCGATAAGACAGGACTCAGAAAACAGGATGGCTTAAGTCAAGTACTGATAACTGGCCTTAGAGGCTGCACTCCAAATATTCCTCTAGTTTGTGTGTGTTTTGTTATGCAAGTAAAATATTTAAAAGGGAAAAAAAGACACATAATAGTTGATAGATAATTAATAATATTTTAAAAATTCATAAAATTAATCAAATAAAAGTGAAGAAAAAAAACTATGACAAAATGAATACTGGGAGAGGAGTAAAAAGCAGATAACACAGCAAACTGTTGCTAAAATAAATATTTGCACAGAAACTACACCTGAGAAACAACTTCAGTTTCAGGATTGTAGAGCAGAATTAAGAGTTGCTTTATCAGATGAACAAATATACAAAATACAAAAGCAAATCAAGCATTTGTCAATAAGTAATCTGAACGCAGATTGATAAAAGTTTAACTTTTCCTCGACAAAGTTTTGTCTTCAACAATTAATTTAGACTTCAAGGTTACCAAAGAAAATATATAGTTTATGGACATTTTTATAGAATATGTATACAAAGATTTTTGTTGTTTACAGTTACAAATGTCCAACTTGTATACATTTTTTGGTTCACTAAACATTTTCTTAAATTCTGATTGAGCTGAGCTCTTGTAATAGTGGCACAGCCAGATGACGCAATCAGAGCCAGCTGGGCTTTTTGACAATATTTAACAACTTGACTTTTTTTAACCAATTTATACATAATTTGTTCAGAATATGGCTTACAGTAAGTTGTAGCTGCAGATAGATCTAATTATAGATATACAATTGTAATATTAATTTTCTTACGTTAAAGAAATACAGTAAATTTTTCCCATTTTTATTAGGATTGATGTGTGTAAATCAGGTGGTAAATTAATGTGTAGAATTTGTATCCAAAAAGATTGAAGTTGGAAAAACACTGACTGTGGAGAATGAGGCACTCAAATTATTATAGAAAGCATTGCAAAGAGTTTGGTGCAAAGCCATCACAGAAAACATTGCAACAACAACAGTGAGATGGGATCAGCTGTTTAGATTCATGGTGCAAAAGTCCGTCTCCAAAATGCAAACGATGCATCTCTATTTACATTTTTGGATTTTAAGCCTCATATGTTCTATAGCAGCTTTCTACTGAGTCTAAATTTTTTTTTAAAGATCCAACAAAAAAGGATATGAACTGATAAGAAGCAGAGCTTTTAAAAGGTTTAAAGTTATTGTTGTTGTCCTTTTCTATTTTGTTCAATAATCTACTTTTAGTTCTGCAGACTGGCTTCAAACTGTGTCTGGACTTCACACTCACACAGAGTAGAAGCTAAGTGAACACATAAATATGGAACAGAAAGTAAAATTAGCTATAAAAGCACGAGCTATAACCAGACTACTGTAAAGGGCAGATTACAGAATGGTCTATATGGAAATAATTATTAGATGTATGCATATGTAAAAATATCTTAAAAACTGTTGCATTTTAGGTGCATGTCTTAAAGAAACTGTGTATGTAATGTGATGTCTTATTATGTTAGCCACCATGTCACATATCTGTAGAAAATGGTTTGGCAGTGATACAAACATGTAATTAAAAGTGAGAAATTACAACAGCCACAAACAGCAGCGGGATGAGTTAGCAACCATAAAAATGTCTTTTTGAACCGTGTTGTGTGTCTGTGCTGGTGAACCGTCTCTGACCAGAGGCTTTTAAAGAAGACATAAATCTTGTTTTGAACTGTGTGGGTGTGAGGCACAGCCATGCTGTTTGTCATCACAGATAAGCTCATCTTCTGCTTACCTGAGTGAGAATGTCCAGTTGACCCATGATGTGCTCCAGGGTGTTTGCTAGACCAGGGGGAACCCTTCCATCTGAAGCACTGGACTGTGCTTGATCCTGGTGTGAAGGCTGTGGTAAACTTTGGCTCTGATTCTGCTGGGTGGATGATGAACTGATGGTGGGATCTCTGTGAGTATAAGAGTGAGCTGCTCTGCTGAGGCTGCCATTACGGCTAAAACTTTGAGAGCGAGCAGTAGTTTGAGAGTCCTTTCTGCTCATCGGATCTGCTGGTTCAAAGCTCTGCAGAAAAGACAGAGGTGAAGAGTTGTTAGAAACTCAGAATTTACTGAAGTAAACAGTTCAACAACATCCTTAAGCCCCATTTAACACATGAACCCAAATAATCTATCTTTATGACCGACATGACCTACATTGGACAAACTCTCCTGGCCTTTCGAGGATCCTAAGGAGCTGGTACAGTCTTCCACAGCTGGACTGGAACCTGCATTGTTCCTCCTGAACCTGAAGTTTGTCCATCGACTAGACTCTCTTCTCCAGCACCCCTGCATTGACCTTATCGTGGAGGCTGAGGAGTTTGATTCCCCTTTCATTGGAACACTCTCTGGTCTCCTTTGGCACTGACCCCAATGTCCATGTAATGTTACAAAGGCGTAACAACCAAGACAATGCAACATCAGCCTGCTTGGTCCACCGATACCCCTTAGCTGCAGTTCTACCAGTTCACAAGGCCCGAAAGGACTCCTTCAGCCCTTTCTAACCTGGGGGCGTCAATGTCCACCACCGGGTTCAAGGGTGGCCACCACGAGAGGCACCAAAAAACCTTGCGATCACAGCTCAGGGTAGCCACCTGTGGAGTTTGTAGATTACTATGCATAAATAGTGTCAGACATCTCCCATTCTAAATCCAGTAGCCAGCTGGTTACACAGACGGATTGTCATCAGTTCATTACATCCTCAAAATGCATATATTACTGACCGTAATGGCTCAGAGGTGTAACATTAGTGGGTTGACTTTACCTGCCATGCTGCCTTAGTCTTTATATGAAACTAACAGCAAGGCATCTCAGACGCAGCTTGAAGTGTTTTGCAAAAGGGGTTAATGTTTGAGAGAGTTTAAAAATATATATATTGTGGATAATTTAGTGGAAGAAGATGTTGGCCAGTTAGCACTAGGGGTGCTAACTGGCCAACTTGTGATTTTCTGGCCGATCACTGATCTCTAAAAAGTCTGAAATGTCGATTCTGATTTTGTTTTATAAGCGACACTGTCAGGTGTTATAAGGTCACAATGCAACTTCAATTTTCCAATCTTATTTTACTGAAAAACATACTCTTGGACAATATTTGTATGCTTTCTGATTGTCCACTGTTGTCTTTGTTGTCTAATGTTGTCATCACTCTTTGTTAAAATCAGGTCTCTCTTGTAAATGAGTCCCTGAGGATCAGTGGGATTAACCTGTATAAATAAAGATTGAATTAATAACCTAGAAACAATACAAACTTGCTTTAACTGGCCATGAGTTAGTGCTCTGAAATATAAATGAAGTTTATACAATTGTTAAAACTACAAAAAAACATAAATTGGTAAAATCGGTTTCTCATGTAAGCATCGGCCAATCTATGATCTCCCAAAATTAAAGGAAATCGGGGCCTATCGGCCGGCTGATTTATCAGTGCACCCCTAGTTATCACACAAGACAGACAGTTCACTGAACTGTCTGCTACAATAGAGAACACAGTTGCTTAATTTCAAACTCAAAGGAAGAAACCACTTCCAAGTCATTAAAAAGGATTTTATCCTACATATAGATTTTTATGCAACTCCAAATATCGTGTTTAACATTGGAATTAATGAATATCATCTAGAAATCCGTCTATGCATTACTTAAAACACAAATCGCACAATTTGGTCAAACATAATTATTATCACTTTTTGTTTTTGGACAATATCTTTACTTTTGTGACTAAAGAAGTGAGGCTGGCCGGTGTGTGCATGTGTGCAATTCATAATACAACAAGCAAAAACAAACAATCGCACCAGTTGTCTCAATAAATGTACTTACAGCACAACAAACATTTTATGAAAAACTATTAGTGATGGTTTGAATTCAGTGAAGCCTGTGATGACGGTTGTCACAATTCAACAAGAGAGAGTGTGCTCATTTTCCTACCTGCTGCTTTCATTCTTTCTCCTATAATTAAAAAAAAGTTTATCTGTAACTATTTGTTTTCTTGTGTATCAAGCATGTGGTGTCTCCTACTAGCTCTCAGAATTTATTTTTGTTATCGTCTATCTTGACTTGTAATTTTGTCGAGTGTACTCGTGCTGTTTAGCCTCCTCATGTGCTCACCCTGTTCTCCCCATTCTCTACACTGACCTTCTCTCTAACATCCTGCTTCACACTGATGCTCATTCTCTCCACTAGACCATTACGCTCTTTAAGCCCCCTGCTATCTTGTCTTCAATTGTCCCTTGACACACCCATTTCCTTTTTCTTTACCTCCTGCTGTAAGAAATGCATTCAACTCCTGCTGTCAGAATAATACCACCTGTATTTAAATATCTGCACCTTCCAGATGCACATACACTGTACCAAAATAATTGCTGCATATGTACTGATTACACGGCGGTTGAGGGTTCACAATGTACCAAATAAGAATATAATGTTTCAGGAGGAGAAACTTTAGACAGTCAATACAGTCAAGAACCCCTCCCCCTCTTCATTCTATCTGATGCTCTTCCTAAAGCTGAACTGAGCGGTGTAGAGCAAGAGTTTGTGTGCTGAGCTGTGAAGGGAAGCCTGCTGCGAGAGTACTGCTCGTCTGTCAGCACACGTGAGCCAGAGAAAGACCCAGATGTGAAGCTAGAGACCGAGCAAGAAGAGAGGGGTGGTGGGGGTTGGAGTCAATGTGATCAGAGAGAGCTGATCTGCCTGTCAGCCATGGCTGGCACTCACATACATACATCAATGCTCATACAAGAAAGAAAGCAGCAGCAAAAGAAAATTGATTTGCTCAGCTGAAAGAAGACCACACTGAAGCTGATCTTTTACCGGTCGTCAGAAGCAGACTTCATTTAAAGCTGGTTTACTGTGTTTAACAGTAAAGACAACATGTTTCTGGTTTCTGCCCTTACTTCACAAATAAACATATAACTACACACCTAAGAATTGTAAAGAATGATCAGATAAAACAGAAAATGTAAAAAATGTGATGTTATTTTTAAATGCAGAGATTTTAATACCACTTAATATTTTTGGTTTAAAAAGGGGGCAAGACTTAGTAAGATTTTAAAAAGAGCACAACTAGTAACTCAAAAAACTAATTATTACAAGGTTTCTGGCCAAACAGGCTAGATGACTAACATCTTATGCATCTTTTTAATTAAGTTGCAGCTAATTACCTGGATGCGTGACTGGAAGAACTGTTCCATAAACCCCATCATGGCTGCTCTCAGCTAAAAACATCATTTACTGAATTCTCTGAAAATAAGTATATGAAATTACATTACATGCACTTTTTTCTACAATTGTGTGAGCATCACTTTCTTCTTCTTTTTTTTTTAACTCAACAAAAACGAAACAAACTATCATATTTAGGCAAGGGGGTGACATTTTCCTCCTCTGCTTCTCTCAGGCGACATGTGAAGGAGCCTTGCAGCAGTGCATGACATAAAAGGGTTAGTATTAATAATAAATTATGAATGGCTAAATTATGCATGAAAAGATAAACCTAGGAAGTGCATGCTTCCAGGTACAGATCCGACCATGACTTTAATTGAAGCAACTGGTACTTGTCAATAAAAAAGGAAAAATCTGTTCCAAGAAGTAATTTAGGTTAATGATGTCAGTGTGTCTGAGCGTTCTTGATTTGGCTGCCTTTAACACCTGTGCTGCTATACAGGTCCTTCTAAAAAAATTAGCATATTGTGATAAAGGTCATTATTTTCCATAATGTAATGATAAAAATGAAACTGTCATATATTTCAGATTCATTGCACACCAACTGAAATATTTCAGGTCTTTAATTGTTTTAATACTGATGATTATGGCATACAGTTCATGAAAACCCAAAATGCCTGTCCCAAGAAATTAGCATATCATGAAAAGGTTCTCTAAACAAGCTATTAACCTAACCATCTGAATCAACGACGTAACTCTAAACACCTGCAAAAGATTCCTGAGGCTTTTAAAAACTCCCAGCCTTGTTCATTACTCAAAACCACAATCATGGGTAAGACTGCCGACCTGACTGCTGTCCAGAAGGCCATCATTGACACCCTCAAGCAAGAGGGTAAGACACAGAAAGAAATTGCTGAACGAATAGGCTGTTCCCAGAGTGCTGTATCAAGGCACCTCAGTGGGAAGTCTGTGGGAAGGGAAAAATGTGGCAGAAAACGCTGCACAACGAGAAGAGGTGACCGGACCCTGAGGAGGATTGTGGAGAAGGGCCGATTCCAGACCTTGGGGGACCTGCGGAAGCAGTGGACTGAGTCTGGAGTAGAAACATCCAGAGCCACCGTGCACAGGCGTGTGCAGGAAATGGGCTACAGGTGCCGCATTCCCCAGGTCAAGCCACTTTTGAACCAGAAACAGCGGCAGAAGCATCTCTCCTGGGACTGCTGCTGAGTGGTCCAAAGTTATGTTCTCTGATTACAGTAAATTTTGCATTTCCTTTGGAAATCAAGGTCCCAGAGTCTGGAGGAAGAGAGGAGACACAGAATTCACATTGCTTGAGGTCCAGTGTCAAGTTTCCACAGTCACTGGGGTGTCATGTCATCTGCTGGTGTTGGTCCACTGTGTTTTATCAAGCACAGGGTCAATGCAGCTAGCTATCAGGAGATTTTGGAGCACTTCATGCTTCCATCTGCTGAAAAGCTTTATGGAGATGAAGATTTCATTTTTCAGCACGACCTGGCACCTGCTCACAGTGCCAAAACCACTGGTAAATGGTTTACTGACCATGGTATTACTGTGCTCAATTGGCCTGCCAACTTTCCTGACCTGAACCCCATAGAGAACCTGTGGGATATTGTGAAGAGAAAGTTGAGAGACGCAAGACCCAACACTCTGGATGAGCTTAAGGCCGCTATCGAAGCATCCTGGGCCTCCATAACACCTCAGCAGTGCCACAGGCTGATTGCCTCCATGCCACACCGCATTGAAGCAGTCATTCATGCAAAAGGATTCCCGACCAAGTATTGAGTGCATAACTGAACATGATTATTTGAAGGTTGGCGTTTTTTGTATTAAAAACACTTGTCTTTCATTGGTGGGATG